AATCCTCACCCAAGGATACTTTTTCCATTAATTTTTAGAGAGAATGGGAGGGAGACAGGAGGAGGAGAAAAACATCGACATGAGAGAAACAGATCCACTGGTTGCCTCCTACACATGTCCTGACAGGGGCCGAGGATCGAACCTGCAACCCAGGTACCTGCCGTGAACTGGGAATTGAACCTGTGATCCTTTGGTCCGAGGGCTGACACTTGTAACCACTGACAAAACCGGCCAGAACCCCTTGTTTCTGATGCTCACTTTGTGGGAAACCACCACCATGCGAATGGTCCCTAACGATAGAATACCGTATCTATCAAGTAAGTATTCAGTAGTTATTTCAAACCTCTACGGAATTTACCTAGATTTTCCCACAAAGAAGTCGTTGGTTCTTTCATCCTGGCTGGGGACCTTCTGGGCAAATCTGACTTCCTGTACACCAGCAGCACTCAGTACCACAGTAAACCCAAATAAAGGAGGAGGCTTCAACATTTTCAGGGGAAAATGAGAGACTGGGTGGAGAAGGATAGAAGAGAGCAATTGTCTTTTGTAATGTAGATTTAAAGAAGAACGTGCTATAAAAAAAAAAATGACAAAGCCTCTTTGAAAGCATGGTAACATCAGACACAAAAGCTCCAGATTTTTAAAAACCAATTTCAGGATACAGGTCACATTAAATTTGTGACGTGGAGTTTTACAGAACTGTAAGCATGTACTGCGTTAGGTAGCATGCCCCGCGTTAGGTAGCATGCCCCGGGCCAGGGTGGGGGTATGCCTGGCACTGGGAACCCAGCCATACCACTCCGGGATAAACAGTGCGTTGGCAGAAGGATGGGAAGCATCGGTGTGTGACAACTCATGTGTATAGTCAACCTCCTCCTGCTTAGCCATCTACAGACTTCCTTAAGGATGTCAGTCAAGATGAGTTCACTGTACAGTTTGCTCATTTTCATAAAGTGTCTTTTGGGGACTGTGCTGAACATGGGTTTCTTTTCTGTTCTTGGCTCCAATATCACAGGCAGCCTGCCAGCAGTGCAAGAACCTAGGTACTCTGACAGAAGCCATCCGGGGAATTCTGCTTCTGCTGGCTAAATAACTCGCATCATTAAATAAACCACCCTCTGACCATATTTATGAAATGTTATGTCTGCCTAGCAATGAGCCTACATTATTTAAAGTTGAAAGTGAAGGCTCACTCAATGTACCCTTGCCGGCCAAAATGTTTGTTTTCAGCTGGTTCTACTGAAAATAATGTGCCCTCCAAGGAGCAACCCATGTTTTGGAGTAGCCACTCGGGTAATGGCAGGAAGGGAGCAGACTGGGCATCACAGGGAATCCTCATATCCTATATACACAAAATAGAGGGGGAACGATACAGACAAGTTGAAAAGAGTCTCTAATTCTGTTGTGGGTTCTTAAATCCACTAGGGACTTGTTTTGGGGAAAAGCTGAGTTCTTTGGGACAGTACGCTTTCCAAGTTCCACAGTGTGCGTTTCAAGCCGCTGCCAAAATGCAGTTCAGCCTTGTTTATATGCAGAAGGGTATCCCAAAAGGCCCTCCCAAGAGCTATGGCTATTGTGATGAGCTCCCCAGGAAGGATGCTTAGCCCCACTTGGTAACCTGTACTGTTACAGGGTGATGCACAGGCTTCCCATGCCTGGCACAGAAGCAAAACTAACACAGCCACGGCAGCCAAGGAACCTGCAGTCTAGTTGGGAACCAAGACCAACACATAGAAAACATCATTCAGCATTAGAAAATGCCACAAAATTAAGTTCTTATTCAGAACAAAGAGAATGGATTTAGCTGCACAGTTGCCCCCCGCTCCCCAAAAAGAGATGATCTGGATGTAATAGGAATTATCTGTTTCTTGTGCCTTGTCGGACACTTGGCACACCTTGGAAGGAACTATTTTCTACTAGTTGCAAGGTACAGAGACTCCTACAACCACTTATATATGGTTTGGAAATCCAGGTATTTTTTTTCCATGAATGGGTGTGACCAATAATCTTCAAACCCACTTCAAAGAAAACAGTTAAAAGATACAACCCTGGAGACCTTCAGGGAAAAAAAGAAACTGTCCAACCTCCACCTAGGACACTCCGAAATCTGTTCCACTGAGGGAACTGGCAGATCTTATCTCAGACTGATAACAACATCAAAAACAAATGTGGGCTGGGACATGGCTTTTCTTAAACTTTCCTTGTCACACGCAAGAATAAGCAGTCACAGGTGGGTGGGTAAGCAGCCCTTCAAAGAACAATACCACCAGGCTCTGACTGTGCAAAGGATGACAAGGAAGTGTGGAAAACACCAGGGGGCAGTGCCCACAGAGGTTAATGAGGAGGCCCCATAGGGCAGGGTTTGCAGAAGGTGTCCTTGTATGAAATTTCTCCCTTGTTTCTACTTGGTTGGAGGGTAAACATCCCTATTTATTTATTTGTTTGTTTGTTTATTTATTTATTTTCTTCCAATTCAGGTGTTGTTGATGGAAGAAGAAAATCAACTTAAAAAAACAGAGAAGCTCTTTCACAAGGCTGAGTTCATTGGAATAGTTTACTTCCACATCTTTTAGAATATATTTTTATTTATTTCAAAAGGGAATGAAGAGGAAGAGCGAGATAAAATCATTAATGATGAGTCGTTAATTGGCTGCCTCTTGCATGCCCCCCACTGGGGATAGATCCTGTAACCCGGGCGTGTGACCCTACTAGGAATGGAACCATGACCTCTTCTTGGTTCATAAGTCAACGCTCAACCACTGAGCCACACTGGCTGGGCTACTTCCAGGTCTTATAGTTTATGCTCCAAACCTGTGCCTGTGGCAGTCCAAGCTCACAGATAGCCACACAACCTGTGTGCTGTTAAGTTTTAGTGTGACAAGATGAATATAGTCTGCAGTATCACATGTACTGATAGACAAGTGTTCTATGAAGTGAGTGAGACTCAAGTGGATATGGAAAATTAAAGTGAATCCCTCATCTCAATCAGCAGCTGTTCCGTTAAAGATAAAGCTTTGGAGCGATAGCAGAATAAATACTGATACCAATTTACATGCTAGCTTGTAAACAGGTAGTACTGTCTTAATGAAGAGTCTGGTGAAATTTACACAAAGTCAACTAACATTTATTGTTGCTTAGTATGGTCTAAGTGCTATGCTGGGTATGAAAACAGAAAGATGAGAGAGGTTTCTGCCTTAGAAGACCTTCCAGTTTAATGGACTAACACATGTAAACATGTTAGATGCTATGATACAGGTGCGTGTCCTTGGGGTGCCAGGCAAACAGGGGGTGACCCTCTGGATCAGAGAAGGCCCTCCCAGGGGGATGCAAGCCTTGCACAGTCTTGAAGAGCAAAGAGGGGACAGCCAGGTTAAAGGGAAGCAAAGCACCTGAGAAAGTGGAAACCACATAAGAGCAAGGAAGCAGCATGATGTGTTTGGAATACCATTTCTAGTTCAGTGATGGAGGAGAAACAGAGAGGCTGGGGCAGAGGGAGGCAGGACTGAAGAATGAGGCAATGCCAATCTAGGAATCCTGATGTGCCTTTAGGAATCCTGATCTTTTTGCAAGGGGAATGTGTGGGGGCAGGGGAGGACTTTTAGCAGTCAAGTGACACAAGGCCTATATTTTATGTAAGTTCCTCTGGCCGCTGGCAGGGATGACACCTGAGGACACCTGAGAAAAAGGGCTAGAAACAGGGCAGGCAAGCAGGAGGCCACTGTAATGGCCTAGGGGAGAGGTGAGGGGATACACTAGACAGTGGTAGGAGGGATGGAGAGGAGACTAGATTTTAGAAATAATCAGGGTGAAAATGTAAGGACTTGAATGACTGTGAATGTGAGAGATGATAAAAGGAAGGGGTATCCAGGGTTTCAAGTTCGGGTGCCTGGGGGGATACTGGTTACACTTCCAGAGCTAAGGAACATAGGCAGAGGAGCAGGATTAGATGGGAAGGGGAGTAAGTTAAATCAGAAGTAGATAAAACTAAGGTGAGTGAGGCCAGCAGCCTCAGGGGAAAAGCCAGGATAAGCGATGAATGTCAGAGAGTCATCAAAATGGAAATAATACGATAGCTGAAAGCTTGAGTGGATGAATTATAGTAAAATCATCAGCCAAAAATGGAATTGAGGGGAACACTAATAATTAAGGAGCAGAGGGAAGAAAATATGCACACAAAAGAGAATGAATTAACACGAGACGGGAAGGAACTGGAGAGACAGCTAAAACATCAGGCAGAGGAGGACACATTTCAAGGATGAGTGAGGGACCAGCAGTATACCAAGTCCAGGAGGCAGACCAACCCAGAGAAGACAGGGAAGCCTCCAGGTCTGAGCCCTGGGAGAAAATGTTAGGGTTGAGCTGTGTTCCCTCCATACAAAAGCACCCCAGCCTGGGACCTATTTAGACATGGAGTCTTTTCTAAAATGTGTTTTTATTTATTTTTTATTGAATTCCTTGAGGTGGCACTGGTTAATAAGATTATACGGGTTTCAGGTGTACAATTCTAAAATACATAATCTGCATATTACACGGTGCGTTTAGCACCCCAAGTCAAGTCTCCTTTCATTACCTCTTATCCCTCCTATACCCTCTTCTACCTCCTCCCAACCCCCTTAGACCTCTAAGTGGGGGAGGAGGTAACAAAAGCAGAAGCTGGGGTAGAAAGTGTCACAATCCTCAGCCGTGTGACTGAATGAAGGTTTGTTGAGGGTGGTGATAAGTTGGATTAGAGGATGGCTATGCATCCAAGGAAGAGAGGCTTCTTAGGGCTTTACCAGTCAGACAGATCCTTAGTGCTGGGCCAGCTTCCATTTCTATTTAAACAACCAATGTCTGCAGAGAGGTGAACTTCTAAGTCCTATTTGTAGACCCAAAGAAATAAACTTGAAAGGGCTAAATGAGTGGGGTTTTTTTTGTTTGTTTGTTGACATGTCATCATGTGTTGAGATTGTACATGCATTATATATAAAAGACCACTGATAACATTTTAGACAACATACCAGAAACTCCGGGTGGTGTCTTAATGAACTTCCCGTTAAAATGACCAATAACGGCTTCACACTTTTCTGTTGATTCCATCCTATATTTATATAAAAATAAAACAAATATTTAGAGGTCTCTTAGTTTTCATTTTGTTCTGCGAATGTGAAATACATTCTTACAGGTTTAGTGATTGCAAATAAAATGGAAAAAACATGTGACTAAGAAGTGGGTTTATCCTATCTTTATCTAATGTGGTTTGTACACTTCTATAGTTAAAAAAGCCGGGACCGGTTTGGCTCAATAGATAGAGCGTCAAGGGCATGTACCTTGGTTGCGGGCATATCCCCAGTAGGGGGTGTGCAAGAGGCAGCTGATCGATGACTCTCTCTCATCGATGTTTCTGACTATCTCTCTCCCTTCCTCTCTGTACAAAATCAATAAAATATATTAAAAAAAAAAACAAAAAACTGTTAACAAGTATATTCTGAATTACAAAACAAAACACACACCTATAAGTTTAAGATCAAACATATCAAATGTATAATTTTAATCTATTTGTTGGAAAACTGACATTCAATACACAATAGCTTTATTAGTCATAATATTAAACACAAAAAATAGTTTAAAAAATGAGTGTATTCACTGTTTGCTAGAATATTTTAAAGATGGCTTTTCCCTTTACATGATCACAAAATGAAAGGCTCAAAAGATTCTATAAGAACCAGTGTCAATCAGAGGATGTAGAACCTTATAAGGTTTTTGTATTTGCTTCAAGTTTAAAATTAAATTTAAGTCAATTATGTACCTTCCCTTTAATCCTGGCTTTGGAGGCGTAATTAAAGGATGGAGCCTAACTTCACAACTTATTCTTCATCATCTGCAGGGGGCTAAAAACACTTGAGAAACATTTCAGGGGAATTAAGTGATTTTGACTTATTCTTCTTTAATGGAAGAAACACTGAATTATCTATTCAAAAGGCGCTACTCTCCCAGACTACCCAGAGTTACACCCAGGTTTTAATGGGTAATAATAGTTTTAAAAAGCAGTAGAACTTAATTGGATTCCATCTTTGGGCACAGAAATAAACTACTTGATCTGCTTTCAGAAGAACACCCACTGAGGTGTCAAGTTTTAAATGGCACCGAGCTTTTCATTGCTTCACATGGATCCTTTTAGCCAATCAAGTGCACACTGGAGAAGAAAGATAGCCTTAGTGACAGTTGGCTGCAGAACATTTTAGTTTTATTATAAAACTAGATGGTCAGTGCATGAAATTCGTGCCCAGGGGGTGTGTGTCCCTCAGCCTAGCCTGCACCCTCTCAAATCTGAGGGATGTCTGACTGCCCGTGTAGGCCCAATTCTATCTACTGCAGGCTTCCAACTGCTCAATATTCCAGTGACAATAAAAAAGTCTCTTCTTTGCATCAATTTTCTTATCTGTAAAATAGTAAACAATGCTTGCTTTGTTATCTCACAGGTCTGTGGGAGAACATGTGATTGACTTCAAATAGGATAATGTAGTATATAAAAGTAAAATGTCAGCAATTTTTCCTCCAGAATCAAAAGTAGTACTAAAAGACATACAGACATTATCTGTTACTACACAGTATTAAGTTCCTAAATAATGCACCATGTAAAATAAGTTTTTGTACATGGGCTTTCAGATTAGAACTATATTAACAAATCAAACCTCCTTCTAATTAAGATTTTTCCTTTGGAAACCAAATTAACCACTACACCAAAGTATCCTTCCTAGGGAGGAAGGGACTAAAGTAAGATGAAAGAAGTGATGGCACTTTAGATCTATCTGTAACATTATTCAGAAGATAATCTGAGCAAAATTGTAAGATGTTACCACAAGTGTAACAATTGGTGCTTACACAGATGTCATATCATTGATTTACTTTTTTGAAAGTTTGAAATATTTTATTTAAAAATCTAATGTCATTGATTTTACTGATGTTGAATCAAATGTCTATCTAATAAGAAAAATCATATTGATTTCTGTACAAAATTTATGAGTCGGAGATTGCTATTTTGAAGAAGTTATAGACATCCTGATCTAATTCAGAATTATCGCTGTTATAATATTTCCTTGCCTTCAGTCACTAAATATTAGTGTCCTCAGGTTCAAAAATACAATAAACTTTCAAAAGATTTGGAAAAATCCAAACCACTATTTACACATTATTTAAGTTCATGGTGCCACTAGTTCCCATAATCCTGACTTAAATTCTCTTCTTGCTCAATATTTATTTCCCACGAAACTTAGCAGAGCTGTGGTTGTTAGCATAATAAAAATAGGAAATTGTGCTTACCTAGCAAAGCCAACGCCACGACTTGTACCACTGGAATCACGTAGTATCCTTGTAGAAATAACTTGTCCAAATGGTTTCAGCATGTTTTCAAGCTCCTGCTCATCCATGGACAGTGGCAAATTAGAAATATATAGGTTGGTAGGATCTTGTTCTTGTTGCTAAAACGGAACAGAGAATTGTCCATTTCTTCCCAATAGAAGGTGAGGTATGTGCACACACCTACTTTTATTTAGCCACTCTCTTTGCCCGGGTAAGAACATGGGAACTACAAATCACTGCGGACACTTGAAAATAGGATCTGAAGCCTGGACAACCTGTGCAGGTCTGACATGAGCTGACGGAACCTTTCTTAGCAGATCTGGAAGTGGGACTCTGGCAGGGATGCTGAGTTGGAGAGGATCCCCTCGTGGAACCACAAGTTTCAGCTGCCCGCGGTACTCTCCAAAATAACCAACCTCTGCTCTACTACTATTTTTAGGACTCCATTTCAGGCCACTATTGCACAGAAGGCGATTACTGCTAATCAATCCAGACCAAGTCATCTAAAGCCCAGTGGGGCTCTGCCCAAATCCCTCCTCTGCTCCATGCAGAGTCCTTACTGCTTTTGAGCTGTGATTACCCTCAGGAAAAGGAAAGCTCCAAAATGAATGACAACAACAAAAAGAAAACGCAAAGTCATACAAAATGATAAACTCTAGGCAGATCAAATTTTAGAACCTGGGTAAAATTAAACTCTAGAACAGATTTGGGGGAGGGAGGGAAGAGGAGGTTTGCTAGGTGCTTGCTACTGAAAGAGGGATCCAGGGGCCAGCAGGGATGGCATTATCTGTGTGCATAATAGAAATGCAGAATCCCAGGCCCCACCCCAAATCGACCTAACCAAAGCTGCATTTTAACAAGATTTCCATGTGCTTCATTTGCATGTGAAAGTTTAAGAATCAATAATCAAGCCATTTCCTATTTATCTTTCCTTTATTTAGGTAGAATCAGCGAAAACCAAAGATATATAGTAGAATTTTCTGAGAACTGATAACTGCTATGTATATGTAACTAAGAGTTTGAAGTTCAAATCGTCAGGGGTAAAACCTATCAAGTCAAAATTCAATTTTGAATTTTGAATTTTGACTCTGCAATTGTGAGATTAGGGTAGCCTTAATTTTAATTTTAAATCAGTCTTAACTTTAAACCAGGTTTCCTTTGATCATATTAACCAAATAGAGGTCCCTCAGCCTGGCCCGAGAGGATCTGCCTGAAACCTGCTCTCCTACAACCCTCTGAAGGATACTGGATTGCAAGAGGGCATGGCAATAATTAGGCTCCCTCCTCTCTGCTTCCTATGCGTCCCCTGAGAACTGCTGCTTCCAAGTAAACCACAGCTCAGCAGTTCCTGCATTGAGCATCTGCCCCTGGTGGCCAGTGCGTGACATAGCTACTGGCTCATTAGCTGGTTGCTTAGGCTTTTATATATAATATATAGATTGTACCTTTACACACTGAACTATGCAAGCTTATGCTATTTCTTTAACATGTTGAGGACCAGTAGTTTTATTGCTAGCATTACCCCGTGGTCACATAAGTTTCTACTGAATGAGTACAAAAAACATTTCATATACAGTTTAAAGGCACGCTTTAAAATTAAATACCCATTGCATTTTGAAGTTATTTATTACATATTCTTACAAGCTAATATCTTTTTTAAAAAATCTCATGATTGGCCACAAACCTTAGAAAACATGAGAATTCTCATTATCCGTCGGCATTAATAAGCACTATTAGTGAAGTATTAATTGATGTTTTAGCTTTAGGCAACAAAATAGCACACTCATTGTGTTCTAGATTTCCAAAATGCATAATGCTTTAAAAATACATGTGAAGCATGAGCATGTTTGATTTGTACAAAGTCTCTACTTTCAAGTGTAGCACTAATGAACCCTGAAGTGAAACTTTTCCTTTATATATAATCCAGTAAAACTGAACATTGATTTTTCTGGTAAAATTTAAAATAACAATCTGGTATCCTAGAAAATGATAAATGGTATCCCCAAGAATTAAAGTTATCAAAGACTGAGAAACTAGGAGCAGAAAGTACAGTCCCTACGACTTCATGGTTCAACAGACAGCAGCATGGAGCCAGCCAGTTGCAATGGTAGAGAGCAGGCTCCCAGCCTGGGTGCCCCAGACTCTCAGATGTGCGTCAATGTGGTAAGATCCAGGAAAACATTAAAAGTTTTCAAATGTTCAATAGCAAGCTGAATAGTTACCCTCATTCACCCTTCTGCAGACTAAACAAAATGGTAACCATCTTTGCCTTTCTTTAGCTGTAGATAAATTCAGTGTGGCATCACTGATTATCTTATGCTGAGTAAAACCTCCTAATGACCATTACATAAAGTGTATCTTTAATGTATAAAAACCAAAATTGATCTGTTTAATAAGTGCATGACAATAACAGATAACATATTTCAAAGTATGAGGAGAAGCAAAATGGTCTTACGCATTAAAGTTTTCAAATTCTCCTGAGATAGATGGGATGAGTGGTAAAATCCTATTTCTACTTCACTCACTACCTTCATCAACTTCACCCAATTAATCACAAAGCTCCTTGATTAGCCATTTCATGTGGGTTCTGACCTTCCAAATCCCCAAATTTTCCTTCAGTGCTAAAGACAGTGTTTGTTCCCATGGAAGTCTGGTCTTTAATTGGCCAACATAGAAGGGCTCGTCCTTTCTGTCTGAAGGTGGGTATGTAGGGCCCTGCAGCCTAACATTGCTAATTGACACTGACAGTGCATCTCACACAACCCAGACTCATCGCAAGCTCTAACTCCAGTCCTGTCTCCCAAGTCGGGGAGATAAAAACATAGGCATGAATACCATGATACAGATGTGTACAAATGACAGTGGATCACAGATGGGAGTAGGAAGATTAAGGAAGACTTCAGAGGGCATGACTCTGAACTGAAATTTGAGAAACGGGCAGAAGTCACGAGGCTGAAACCCAATTGGGAAAGGCTACCTAAGGAACTTGATTTTACTTTGTCAGGGATTGCTACTTAAACAATGCTATCAGCAGGGAGAGTGACTACGTATCCTGAGGAGTATGTAGACAAGGGCCAAAGTAGCTTTGCAAAAATTGTACATTTTCTTTGAAGCCTGTGCTTTCATCTGAAAAAAGGAGGGGAAGGAGGGGCGGTGGGCAGGGGAAGCCAATTTTGCAATCTATCCCTTAACTATTTAAGTTTGTTTAAATATAGAAAGAATATTTCTGTTCTAATACTTTCAAGTAATACTCATACTCTAGGGAGCTAAGCCATGTTTATCCTGTGATTTCATGTACTCTGGTGAGTGAGGGGGAGTAAGAGGAAAAAGGAACTGCTGACCACATACAGCAGATAGGAAGCCACACCCTGAAAATGTGAAGCATTTGTAGGCACAGAGTAATACGATTAAACCTATCTAATTAGAAAGATTTCTGAATCATGCTTAGTCAGATTCAGAATACAGGTGGGAACCCCATAATTAAAGAGCATTAAAACACTCCTTGGGCAAAGATAGGTTATAGAAAATGTTACATAATATATATAATAAATATTGTGGGCTTTCATTTTAAGCTATAATCATAAAAACACAAATGACTAATATTTAAGAATTTCATAGAATTTGTCATATGTGAAGTTTGTTAAAAGGGCTGACAATGTAGGTACTACTTTCTACATCTGTTTTAGAGTTGCTTCTCTTATTAAAATATTTTTTAAAAATAGTTTTAAAAGTCTTGATTCACGTTGAAAGTTTACCAATGAAGAAATAAGTGCTAAAATCAGAATCCAGGAAGAAATTGAGTTCTTAACCCATTCTTTGATAGATAGTGAAATAGAATAGAATAAACACAAATAAATATTTTTTATGATGACTTTAATGTATTTGTTTTCAATAGCAACAACTCAATTAAGTTTTTCATTTGGGATGACCCTTAGAACTAATGTCATTTAATGACCACACAGTTACAATAATTAAAAATATACACACAATATAAAACTCCAAGCTGGCAGCATTGGCTAGAGAAATATCTAACCCTCAAGGTGTCCATGCATTCTAATTACCCTCCATTCACAGGAACAAAACATACAATATCTGTAGGAAGTGGGGGGTTGTTCTTGAATGAGGGTAATTTGGTTTCTTTAAAATCAGTGACAACCATAACTGTTTTATTACATCAATGCTATGTCTGAAAAAACAATTCTTCTATAAATTATGGGTGGCCAAACATAAAAATGGGGCCAACAGGCCTCTTTATGTCCATGGAAAGGGTTCAATGGCTTCTCTAACAAGTAGAAAACTGGATCCCACATTGGCCGTGAGAGGGATAAATGGCCACTAATGTTCATTTGAGTAGAAAAGCAGGACTCGGACGTCCCGCGTAGTGTAAGGCACTCAGTCATCATCTGAAAGAAATTAACAAAAACCTCCCTGTGCGTGTGGAATGGTTCCTAAAATGCAAGAAGGGGACTTGGCAGGAAGACCAGACATCTGTTTTCTCTTGTACTGAATAGGTTCACCAACCAGCAGATTGCTTGCTGCTCAGGGGCTTGTGAATGCAAACTGCCTGAAGCATGGAGGGCCTCAGTGAGGAAGGGGAATTCAATTCCTGCTCCTTTAACTGCCTATTTATGGGGGTAGGGAGGGGGGAAGCAAGGTCACCACCAGCCATATTACCGTGTTTCCCCAAAAATAAGACATCCTCCGAAAATAAGACCTACTTACAGGTTTCCTTCTGAGTGAAATATAAGGCATCCCCAAAAAAATAAGCCCCCCCCCTTCAGGCTAAACATGAGAGATTTGGTCCACTGATTCTGAAAGAAATGGAGTCACAAGAAATTCACCAGGAAATTCAGGAATTGGATTGTTATGATGATGTTCCAGAAGATGATAACGATTGTCATTGAATAAATGAGTAAATTCTTGATACTGTAGGATTCAGTTTGTCTGGTTTGTGTTGACAACTACTGTACTTCCGTACCGTATACAGGTAATAAATTTCCTTTATTTTCATTTAACAATAAATGTGTACCGTATTCTTCTTTATGGAAAAATAAGACATCCCCTGAAAATAAGACCTAGCGCATCTTTGGGAGCAAAAATTAATATAAGACACTGTCTTATTTTCGGGAAAATAAGGTACATATGATGATCTGCTCACTCCAAGCCAGCCTTAAGAGGGAGGCATTGCTGAAAGGCCTGCACAAGTCACTCTGCTAACAGATATCACTAATGCTGATTTGAGTTTTACACCCTTCTTTTCATAGATTTCAGGTGCTTTATTCTAAAAATGCACACGTTTTTAAATAAATGCCAAGTGTAACACAAACAGAATTGGCTTTTGAGACTTTGGGAAACCTTTTGATAAGTATCATCAGGTACTTGATGGACAGAGATCATTTTATTACTTTTAAATGTCCCATTCTTAATTCTCGATATCTGTCCATCCTAGAAAGAAAACTTTCCTCTCACGTAATTGGCTTCTTTGATTAAGAACATAACAACCATTCAATGGTTACCATGTGCCAGGGACCAAATAAGGCACTGGAAATTAAAACATGTAAAAATAGTCATTGTTGTCTAATGCTTTTTTTTTTTTTTAAAGTATGTTCTCCTTGATTTTTTTTCTCTCTTTTTTTTTTTTAGAAAGAGAGGAAGAGGAAGAAATAGAAACACTGATCAGCTACCTCCTACACACCCTTTACTGAGAATAAGTCCCCAACCTAGGCATGTGCTCTGATTGGGAATTGAACCTGTGACCTCTTGATGCAAGGGTTGACGCTTAACCACTGAGTCACACAGGCTGGGCTGTCTAATGCTCTTTATTGGCAGTTTTGTAATTCAGTTTTAAGTGTGTGGAGAGTCCTTCTTCCACCCAGGTAGCCAATGTGTCAAACAATATATTCTCTTTTACCACCTGGACAACTCTAGTAAAATGCCCCTTAATTTTTTTTCTGACTATGTAACAAAACAAACCTTTAATACATGGGAGTGTGAATTTTCAACACCTTACACCTGATCAATTCCCTAAAGGAAAGCAGTCAGGGATGGGCCCCTTATTACCCAACTCTAAACTTCTTTTAAAAATGTGTCTCCAAAAAACTGTGTGGCAGGTGTTCCTTTACCCAGGAAAAGTGAAGTCCAAATACTCAAATCCATGGTTCAACAGTATAGATCAATGGACTCTCTAGCATTTAAAACAGCTTTTGTAACTTTGATGACATAATACCAGAGAAATCTGATCCAGAAAACTCAGTCATCCTACAAAGACCTGAAGAAATTCATAAGGTGCAGAATGTTGGCACACTGCCAGTGGCTCTGAACCTGTGAATGGTTCTTTCCCTAGAGATGACGGAGGGAAGGATCATTTTTCTAGTCTATTTACAGTACCAAGCCTCCTAAGGAGGTCTTTGAACAGTGCCCATTATCAACTCACAGGAAAGCTGGCATTCCAAGCACATGGTTGACATCCATTGCATCCAGTCCAGCTCTGACTAGCTGCATTGTAAAGACTTCTTCAAAACAGTGTATTTAATAAACTATCCTGCTTGAGGGCACAGACACTAAAAAGATGCGGAGTTAAGTGCAGTCTAAATAGGGCCTCTACATTTGTAGCTGGTTGTTAAATTGGCCTCTTTCTCCCATTCAGCAGAGGACACAAGGAGTGGCTGTCAGGCACTCCCATGTTCAATGAGAAACCAGACCACCTACAGAGAGTCTGCCAGGACTGGCTGAGACCTGGCTTGGGACTTTCGGCTGAACACCCACCTCTTGTCTGTCTCTGAGAGACCGGAGAGGCTGAGAATGAACACAGCTGTGGAGAGAAACACAATAATGGCCGGAGTCTCACCCTGGGGGCTGCTTCCTATCACCACCATTCAGACAAGAGGGGCTTCAACAGACCGTCAGGGGGCTGGAACTGTGTTCTGTGGGACATGGCGGATTAATGTCCAACGTGAGCTTGAGGAATCTAAAAGACTGGTTGAAGGGCCCTAATAAATGTTGTTGGGAAGTAACTACTCTCCTACGGATAATTGGCAAAAACGTAGTTCAGATGTGGGCAAGCAAGGTAGGGGTGCCCAGCATTGTGTTAGAACCTCCCAAGAAGGCTGCCATGAAGGGTGAGGAGGTCCCAGGAGAAAGCAGCTGAAGAGAGACCCTTAGAGTATTGGGAGCTGAGGCCAGCGGCCTGAGGACATGTATTCTCTAGCTTCAAGGGACGAAAGGGAAACGATCAATTGGGGTGGCGATGGTGATAAAAGGTCTCTGAACTTTCACAGTTTTGAGGGCGGGATGCTTTGGAGAGATTCTGTCTGGCCAGAGAAGCAAACACCAGATGACAGAACTGTCAGGTCAGGAAGCCTTCTCCTCTGTTAATACTGCTCCACACCGGAGGGGGTCTGGGAACCCATCACCACCCATGGCTCTCTAGCAAATTAATCAGGACACTGTAAGGGTTTAAAAGTCACATTGCCATATATTAAATCACAGCTAGTGAGCTAATGGAAGAATGGGGAAAACACAAGCTTGGGAAATAGGGAAAAAATTAACCATATCACATTCCACTACAGGCTTACTGCTCTGAGCAGATCTTAGCTGGGGGAAGGGAGAAGTGTTACCATTACACAATACCCTGAATTTTGTCAAATAAACAGGACTGGACATTAAGTTACAGGCGGCACACATTTAACATTAGTAATGTGTTCTTGAAAATCAGACATTCAGCATCGAAGGTTACCAACTAGAAAACTGTCTTACGTGATTTCAAATAGGAAAAAAGGTTATAATGCATAATACATTAATTACAACCCACAACTTCCTAAAATATAACTATTTACTTTTTTGTTTTCCTAGTTCTTAAAATGTAACTAATTACATCTGTAAATCTCTCTGAGTCTGTGTATACACACAGAAAAAAAAAATGGTTATATTGGGAGGTCAACCTTAAAAACACTGCTTCCTGAGCAGTCAATTGCTTTGTAAAATGTGATTTCTTTTAGAAACAGCAACATCCAAGGCATACATTTCTTCGGCTGACTCAGCAGTTTCAGAACACCTACACATGATTTTGGTACTTTACAAACTGTGTTTGGAATGTAACTTGAGACTTTCCCCATACAACATCTTATTTAAAGTATTGTATTGAGGTTGGTATAACTACATTCGGAAACAGATGAAAATGTACTGAAAGTTCATTAGGTTCCATGAAGTTTGTATATGAAAAAAGCATTCTACAAAATAAATAAATAAATAAATAAATAATAATAAATTAATCAGAAGCACCTGAAATGAATGAAAAAACTTATGGGACTTTTTAAAATCATGAGAGTGATCAGAAAAGTCCTGGAATCTGCCCTGGATTTTACCTATGAGAGGAGGAAGCAGGAGCTTCCTGGTGTGAATTAAAATGGCAAAGTAGAGGAAAAATTAAACATTCTACATTGTATAGTACAGGTACTACATCTTCACAATTAAGTGATCTAAAGCCTCATAATCCCCATCTTTCAACAATGTCACAGGAAACTGCTCTATGTTATAAACAAATAATCTGAAAATCATGATGCTTACCATGTACAGTTTGTTTAACTATGTACTCTGGAGTTTAAGAAAACACCAAGTATGTCCAACTCAATCCCAAGTTTTACAAACATTAAGTATTCAAGGCGTGCTTTAGAAAGGTGACACCTTTCACTAATTTTTAAAATCTTTATTTGTGTTGCTGCCTTTAGTCTATGTGATGCTCTAGCCTGGTAGCTGTAGATATGTCCTTCAATATCTATGTTCTTCTCAGGTAACTTATCTCTTTACCAGAGTCCCTGAACTGCATAAATTCTCTTTCCTTATGGCAATCTCACTGCTCCTTGGGGAATGATCACAGGCTACTACTCAGCAGTAGCAGAGGACAGCACACAACTCCTTTCCTCTGTACTTCAAGAAGCCAGATAATATACTAGTAAAATTACTGGACCTTTTGAAAAGAAGGTACAAAATACGAAACTGCTGAGTTTCAGATTTGAAAACATCTTCCAGAGCAATGTCAGGACCACAAATGGGGGGAAATACATAATTATGTGAATGTCTTAGTAAGTGCACTATAGGTGCCAGGTATGATATAACCTAAGCTTACACCCAGGCAAGAAAGATGAAGGCAGAAATATCACTTCAACAATATTATTCATGTAGATAAGATTAGCCTTATATCTTATAAATAACCAATGTCTAAAAATGCCTGACTTTTGAACAGATTCAAAACAGCAACTACCGCTTATACTGCATAAAATTACAATTGAGAATGTGGAGTTACGGGATACGTGTCCAGAAGTAACCATGGCTGGTTTGGATGGAGGGGAGAAATGTGAATGGTCATAAGAAAACAATCTGTCAGCTTCAGAACCAAAGTCAGGGACCAGAGAAGTGATCGCTGCCTCTCAACTACTCACCTTTGCCATTTGAGCTTGAACCCCACTAGCCTTCAGGGCGGACACAGCTTTCTGGGCAGCGGCAGGACTGTCAAAGTCAACAAAACCGTAACCTGAAATGCAAAACAGACTTCGTGTTTAAGCCATTATTGTACGATTATGCGAAGAGGGAAAGAATGACTCCATTTGGTTTCTGGTGCAGGCAACAAAAAATGAAAACCATGACGACCTGACGGGTCTCAAGAGCGGCAAGGCAGCAGGCATCCTCCTCAGGTGGCCTTCCCTGGTGTCTACCACGGTCGGGTAAGTTTCCCTTCAAAGGAAAGACCCAGCTTTTCTCCTTTCCAGATCTGTTTTTCAGGTGTCCTATATTTACTGACAAAAATGACATCTAAGTTACCAACCAAAGTTAACAGAAAGAAAAAAAAAAATCAACTTCAGAGAAATAGCATTTTCAATGATTTGGTAAGAAAGATGAAGCCATCTATGGACCTTACAGAGGACCAAAATAAAATGGTGTTTATTCTTTAGACTAAACTTTATTTTTCAAAGAATTGAGTACAACCCTTAAATACCCAAGTATAATCTAATTTTTAGAACTTGGTTAAAAATATCATTACTTGTTTACCTAAAATACAGCTCATCATGATCTCGCTTCAAAATAAAGAAAGGGAGGAAAACATGCCTCTAGATACCTCAAATTAACATGTCCTAAAGTCTAAGAACAAAATAAACAAATAATCAAATATTCTCCTATAAAAGGCCCTGGTTCAAAACTCATTTATCCAAAGCTTTATAAACATTTTTAACCAGCTGGTCAGTTATTTTCCCTGGCCACAACAAATCAAAACCAAGAAATTAGAGAAAAAAGGAGTTGGGTTGAGGGTAGGACTACTATAAAGTAAACACGCGGATGATATTTTATCAGTGAAATTTAGTAAAAAGCAACAAAAAAGGAAAACTATACAAAAATAGGATTTATGCTGTTTAAGAGCCATAGTTCCTGATTCAACCAATCCCATGAGCATCACTGTATTAAAATAGGCAATCACTGATTTTTCACTGTGGGAACACTTAAGTTATTGAGAAAAAGCTAAATTATATTTAACATAGTTTAAAAGATCAGGGTACCAGGTAAAATACTAACAGAGATTTTCTAGAAACTCAAACCTATTATTAAATCAATTTTATTTTAAAAAGAGATAGAGAGAGAAAGAAACCTTGATTATTCCATTTTTATGCCTTCATTGATTGATTCTTATGTTCAAGGATTGAACCCAAAACCTTGGCACATTGGGATGATGCTCTAATTAACTGAGCTACCTGATCAGGGCTTAAATTAATTTTAAATGATAAGAATATTTTTATAAAAGAAAAGCACCATTTGGAGGTTGCATAGAAAAGGGACCAGTCCTATAATTTATTTATAGATATTATAACAGATACACACACACACACACACACACACACACACACACACACACACACACACACTCGCACACACACACACTGAGTGGCCAGATTATTATGATCTCTGAATGCATAATAATCTGGCCACTCAGTGTGTATATATAAATTAGAGGCCCAATGCATGAATTACTGCATGGGTGGGGTCAGGCCAGCCTTGCCAGGGGGAGGAGACATGGGCGGTTGGCCAGTCTAACTCTTGGTTGAGGGGACAATTTGCATATTAGCCTTTTATTACATAGGACATACACTGAGTGGCCAGATTATTATGTGTTCAGAGATCATAATAAAGGCTCAGAAATAGTTCAAAGGCCATTGTGCAATATTAGTACCAAAAATATTGCCTACTAACCAAGTAAGTTGTAATGAAATGAAGTAGACTATCTGTTATAGAAATAAATGTTTTAGGAGAGATGAGTGTTAAAGCTAAAACAAGCAGCAGCTTCTTTCTATTACTTGGAGTGGGACTGAAACAGGGTTTAATTTGACTTAGAAGTAGCAAAATAGCCAGGTTGGGAATAAAAAGAGGCTGATCCCGGTAACAGCAGAGAACATTCCTCAACTGACCAATTAGTAATCAGATTCAATGTATTTTGGGTGTTTTCTAGAAATCTGCTGTTAGTGAAACTCTCTCGGGAGACACACCCCCTCTCTCTCTAACTTGTACACATATTTTATTCCCAAACACAATGTAAGCAAGTCATAAATGAACACTCCACTCCACTGAAATGATGTAACTCCTGCTGATGGGTGTTTAAGTCCCCCCACCCGCAATTTTGCTGGTGTCATTAAATTATGATAAATGGAAGATCTCAATTTTGATGTTATTGCAGTCAAAGTTATTATCCTCTCAGCTACTATTAGTATTCCTTTATCTGTTATTTTATTTATTTATTATTTTAAAATATATTTCATTGACTTCTTACAGAAAGGAAAGGAGAGTGATAGTTAAAAACATCGATTAGCTGCCTTCTGCACACTCCCCACTGGGATGTGCCCACAACCAAGGTACATGCCCTTGACCAGAATCAAACCTGGCATCCTTGACTCCACAGGCAGACGCTCTATCCACTCATCCAATCCAGTTAGGGCTGTTATTTTCTTATTAGGAAAACCTATAGTGGTTGCATTTTATTTAATTGTTTACATCCTCTTTTTTGTTTTCTTTCCAGTCATATTCCAATTGTTTTATAAATAGCTGAAAAAAAATGTAAGAGGTAAGCCTGCAACCTAATGCTTTTCATTTTCTCTTAGGTTACTATCAAGGTAACTAAAGGCATGTAACTTTGATTTACACAGGTTCCATGGGTTTCATTGACTGCACCAGGGGAATAGCTATGTTTTCTATTTTTGCTTTAGCATCTAGGAAACTTGGGGCCATTTCTGTAGTAATTGTATATTTCCTGCTCTTAGCCCTAGTTTTCCTTTGGTATGACCCATTTCTACATGTGAGTGTGTGTGTGTGTGTGTGTGTGTGTGTGTGTGTGTGTGTATTCTGATCTTAAACACAACTCTGTAAGCATTAATAATCAATCAGTGTCCCAATCAATCCTTTGGAAGTTTTTGAAGGAGAATCCTGAATATATATAAGTGCCATATATATATATAGTAGGCCCCCTTTATCTGCGCTTTTGTTTTATTCACGTTTTGTTAAACATGGTAAAAAAAAAAAAAAAAAAAAAACACCCAAAACACACATTAAATGTAAAATTCCAGAAATAAACAATTTATAAGTTTTAAACTGCAAGCTGTTCTGAGTAGCATGACAAAATCTCATGCTGTCCTGCTCCATCCTGCCTGGGACATGAATTCTGGCTTCCTCTCTCTCCTCTGGCTTACTCTCTCAGTGACCCACACACCCACCAGGTACCTGTGTGAGACTTTCTATCACCCCATCACCATGTTCCCCTACCCCCCAGGCAGAATCTTAAAGATTTCAATACATGCTGTATAAGAAATCAGCTCTGAATTATTCCTACCTTTATTTCAAAGCCCATCAAATCTCTCCACTTGTCTTTTCAATTGTTATGGATTTGTATTATGACAATATGTTAGATTTAGCATTAGTGTTTTTTTAGTCATACCTTTTCCAGACCGTGTTGAGCATTTTGGGGAATTTTGGTTTCTATGGAAGAGGTTCTCATTGGAGAAGAGTGTACACAGTAGTCTTCAGTGCAGGGCTGTCCTGGAGAATTCAACCAGGGAGGCCTCTGGGTCCTGTCCCTCACTTATGTAGAGCAGCTATCTTTTAACACACTGTAAGACTCCTTCCTTCTAGGGTAAGGCTATAAACATCTTTAAAACCACTTGTCTACTATGATTTTTCTCGTGGTTTGAAACCCACTTTTGAAATAAGCTTCCTGTTTCACATGCAACAGTCCATTTTTCTTTATAAAATGCCAAGATTTTTTTCTGTGTTCCTTGCTCTCCCAAGTCATTGACAAATATGTCAAATAAGACTAATTTTGGCAATTCGATGTAAACATTTCAATCTAGAATTTAACTCTCTTTGTTTAACTCATTAAAAAACTTACTGAGTACCACTCTGTTTAAAGCAGCTCTATTCACTGTCCTGGGGCAAAACTGTCTTAATGGGCCATGTTGATTAAACATGGGCTTAGATACTTGCAACAATAGCCCCTTTAAATTTAGGAGCTTTGAAGAAGAGACAGAAATACAATGAACCACTTCAAGCCTAGATTAAAGGGAATGGCTGGCTTGGAAGGCCAGGCCCTACCATAGGGTTCATTTACATTCTTTGCCTTTTTCAAACTGTGCTAAGCCACAGCAGTCACCACTACTTGAAAAGCTGGGGTCTAATTAACAGGAAGATTTGCCTTCTCTGCCTATTCCTGTCAACCTGATTTCATTCATGGGGTCAGTAGTTAAGACTCAAAGTCAGCTGACTCCATTCTTCCCCTTTCCTAGAAAATCACATGCCTATTGTTAAGATGCTGGATCATTAAAAGTCAGAACCAAGGAACATCGGGGCTGCCTACTGTAGACACCTCTTTCAGCTCATGAGGCTGGATGAGCTCATCCTAATTACACAGAAAACTGAAGGTCAGTGCATCAAATTAATGCAGCAGCATATTTCAAAGGGGTGTATGACCCCCTCTCCCTATTACAGTTTGGTCAGTCAAAAATGGTTTTCTCCTTCCTGCTGCCAATATTGTCAACAGGCATTCAGCAGAGAACAATTGGGAGTATTGAAACATGTAATTAAGTACTGCTTAAAACTACTCTATTCTAATTAATGGAGCCAATTTGCACAATATGTAATCTTTTCAGTTCTTTAGTCCAGTCCAGTGGGCTTCAGTGAGCGGCTCTAATCTCCTCAGGCTCAGCAAAAGAAAGCTATTTTCTAACTCCACTCTCCTTTAAGAGCTGGGGCTAAATGCCAACCAGTATTTTGCAAGTTAACTCTACTGGCGTCAAATCTAGGATTCTGGCAAACTGCTGGCTGCTGCTGGGTTTGCAGCCAAAACTCGACCAGGCACAAACGTAAGCAATATGCTGACATTGTGCAAGACAGGATCTGGGTGACAAGTAAGATTTGGTTTTTAATAAAATGGAAGTGTTTCTGAAACCAAACATCAGGTTTACAAATCCATCATTTTTCTAAAGCTACAGTTGAGCAAATCATCAGTCAAGGAAACACACCTTTGCATTTGTTCGTTGTCTTATCCAAAATTGCCTTCGTGGAAACTATTTTCCCATATCTAAAAGACAAAAACGGGAGAAGAAGTTATAATCAAGGAGCCCTTATTAATGTTCACAGAACACAAATACTTTTTAAACATTTGCAAATTTTAAAGTACAAAACATTCTTTACTAGGGGGACAGGAAATGAGAATCCTAAACTCAAAATTGAGGTTAAAAAAGGGATCAGATAAAAAAAAAAAAGGGGGGGGGGATTGGCTAGTCCTCCCATTGGAAGATTTGGATTATAGTTTGATGTTTAGCTTTGAGGAGCGAGGTACTTACCTAACAATCCTGAGATTTTTTTTTTTTTTTAAGTGGAATGTGAGCTCTAGAAAAAATAATTTCTGTCCTGACTAGGTGGCTCAGCTGGTTGCAGTGTCGTCCCATACACTACAAAGTTGTGGGTTTGATTTCTGGTCAGGGTACATACCCAGGTTGGAGGTTTAAGCTCCGGTCATGGTTCTTATAGGAGCAACCAATCAATGTTTCTCTCGCATCACATTGATGATTTTTATATTTTGTTAATCCTCACCTGAGGATACTTTTTCATTTAATTTTTAGAGAAAATGAAAGGGAGGTGGGAAGAGAGAGAGAGAGAGACTGATGTGAGAGAGACACATCCATTGGTTGCCTCCCACCTGCACCCCACCTGAGCCTGCAACCCAGGTAGATGTACTTGACCAAAAGCGAAACCAGGGCATTTCAGTCTGTGGGCTGACGTTCTAACTACTGAGCAAAACCGGCTAGGACTCACATGGATGTTTTCTCTCTCTTTCTCCCCCCCCCCTCTCTAAAATAAATAAACAAATGATCAAACAAACATACATACAAATTGTTCCAGTGACACTATATCTGTGGTCAAATACAAAACCTAATGCAAGGCTACAGAATTATTAAAGGAAAATACTATGATCCACCCAACCTTTAAAACTGACCACCAGGGGAAATGCCTGCATTGTACCCATTCATTTAGGTTTTGCAAACAGCCCTACATGGGCAGATCACCACAAAAAGGTGCTTTTGCATGTGCTTAACACTTTCAATGAATTTAACACAGTTCTTTTTATACCTGAGATAACTATTCATAGTTTATTGACACTTCTTTTAACTCTGAAATAATAGTATATTGCTAACGTGCATTGTATGTATGCAAGAAATGGATAATCAAGAATAGAAAACAATAGACAAGAAATTAAGCATTAATTGTATAAGGTTTTTTTTTTATGAGAATGTGTTCAAATTCCTTAATGTACAATGGAAGTTGGGGGAAAGAAGGAAAAAAATTCAGAACATTAAAATCTAGTCCATTGCTATTGAAAATGAAATGGCAGTATTGTTGCGATGTATGTACTAATTCTCCACCCTTTCACAGTGACCAGACCACAATGTAAAACACTGCTACCTATGTTTGTCTTCTAGAAACTGAGAAAAGAACGTTTTAAAAACAGTTCTTAAAAGTTATTGGGACTTTGGGTAATGTACATAATTTACTTCATATATCTAGACTCACTTCCTCATTTATACAGGGTAAATTCCAAAATTTTACTTCTCTTTATATATATTTTTTAAGAGTTTCACATTTTCTCTAATATTGCTTTCTCATGATTGATTTTTGAGGATTAAAAAGAGTCCTAAAAGTTCTAGAAAACAAACAGTATCTGTGTAAAGCATTTTAAATTACTTTGAGTATTGTAGGTTTCTAGTTCATGCACTGAAGAAGCTGAAATTAATTTATCTAGACAAAACAAGTGGCTTGAGCCACCTCTCTCCCTCAGTTAAATTTCATTCTGTGTAATCATGTAATCAAATGATTAGTTAGTAGGCATGAAAGTAAAGGTAATTTAAGGTTCAAATGACAATTACATCCAAGGGACATAATGCTGCACAAACACCTTTCATTCCCCGTAGAGATTCTGAGTATTTATAACAACCTTAACACAGGTCACTGGCCTTCCAAAAAATAATTTTAAAAAATCTGCAAACCAGAAAAAAACATGATTTAAAGACCACCTTTTAGCAATCATTTATCTCCCTAGGTTACTTACATGCTTAATATTTACCCACACTCTGTCACTTGTACAAGTTTTAGCTAACATGTTCTCATGCCTTCTACCTTTCCAGAAGTAAGGAAGGATGTTGGTATAACTCCAGTTTAGGATAAGGGCTTTGAGAAACACAGAAATTAAGAGACTTTGCATGAGGTTGCAGAGTTCATGGTCTTTTTTGAACCAAACAGAAAAAAAAGAAAAAGAAATTTAGAGAAGGTCAGAGGCTGGCCTTTTCTCTCCTGGTTCTGCTCTCCCCACCAACGATGGAAAAGATGGAGGAAGGGAATATGGGAAGCAGGAGAAGAGAAAGGACCCTTGAGAGCATTGATGCTCAATCCATGCCACTCCCTTCTGGTTTGGATTCTCTGATCTCTTTGCTACATTTGACACTGCTCTTCATTTCCACATCTAAGTGGCCAGTACTTCTCTCTGCCTCTGCCGACTTCACCCACCTCTGGGCCTTCTTTCAGTGGTTCTTGGTTCATTCAGCTCCCTCCTCTCCCTCCTTAACCAAATCCTTTCATCACATTTACTATTCCAGTCCTCAACCCTTCCTAGTCCTAGGAAATTCATACAACTACAAGGTTGTAATGAACACATCTTTGTGGAATATGTCCATTTTTCCTTACTAACCACCACCCCTCCTCCGATTTTTTTCAAATCCCATCAAAGTGCGTGCTCCTTTCAGCAGCACCTATACTAACACTGGAAGGATACAGGTAAGGTTAGCATGGCCCCCTGGGAAAGGATGACAGGCAAATTTGTGAAGCATTCCACATTTACAAAAAGAAAAACGTCCCATCAAAGTTTCAGTTTTTGTCTCTTCCTCTTCTAACTTAAATATATGAGTATTTTAGTAAGATAATTAAACATCCAGTCAAATATCACCTCCTGCCCACTTTTTTCTAAACCCCATCCCAAAGAACACAAATATCTTTTCTTAAATCTTCCCTTTTTTTCATTTGATAGCGATACATCATCTACTCAGACGTTCCTGAATCCAGGCAGTCAACAACCCTTCTAGGTTTTGTCCCGACGTATGTCTAATGTTAGCTCTTCCCTTCACTGTGCCTCAATGTCTGCAAGGAGCTCATGGTAGTTTTCCTTGCCTCCAGCCTCTAGTCCTTCCAACCCTGTCTGCTGCATTCATTTACCTTAAACACATCCCTCATTCCCACCCATTTACCTTAAACATGTCCCTCATTCCATCCATGCTTACATTTGAAGAACCAGTTCAAACATTATCTTTTCTATGAAACCATCCCATATCTCCTCAACCACTTAGTTGGCCATTTTATAGGAATACCAGAAAGAGAATCATATTTACTCAGTTCCAAGTTGTAGGCACAGTGGAAGTATGATCTTACTTAACGAACTTCACAGCAATCTTAGGAGGAGGCAGGTGCTGTTACTCCCATTTTTGCAAACATGAAAACAAATGGTCATAAATGTTTTGAATCTTAGATCTTGTCTATAGCCACAAAACTAAAAAGCAAATTGTGTTTAAGTTCTCACTGTAACTTATGAATAAAATAATTTTGAGAAACGACGTTTTCTTGATACACACAGAGTATGAAAGGAAAGAAACAAAATGGAAGATTTCTTCCACTGCAGCATTGGAATATATATTTTTTTCCAAGTTGTTTTTGTTTTAAACACAAGAAAGAGACATACAGTAGATGGTTGAAAAAGAGATGTGTGTGTGTGTGTGTGTGTGTGTGTAGAGCATAGAAGTTCAGAAATGTATCAGTTTTACTTTCTACTGTGGTTTTCATCATGATCTGTGGTTTAAGACTGAAAGACCATGACTACCCAGAGAGTCAGAAGACGGTTTTCACTCTGAGGAACTTTTGCATACTGGCCTCCCTGCAATCGGATGCATCAGGAAGATGCTTATCTGCAATAACCAAGGGGTGTGTGGGGTTTCCCTCTCCTAAAATCTCTGCTTTTTGGGGCCATCAACTCAGTTACACCATCCACAGCACAACAGGTTCTCCTTTAAATACCTGGAAGACTTACAACTTTCCATCACTCAGACTCTGCCTCAGTGGGAGATGCTGTCACCGCGTGTGGGGACAGAACAAGCAGTTCTGATGATATGAGAAAGGAGCTAGAATATAGAGAGGAACTGTCTATCAAATGGCACTCAGGGAACGGAGAAGAGGTGGCAGGGTTCAGAAAGGTGCCATTTCCCTACCAATTTTAGTGCAGTGAGACTTAATATGGTGGGACAAGGGATGGGGAGGGGAGGAGAACATGACAGATGGCTAGCCGTTAGTCCAATTCTACTGCTGATCATCAGAGCCTGTGAGAGTAGCAGATACCTGGGTAAAAACGCACAAAGAAACCGGATTGTCACTCCTCCCTGTTCCTCTTTTCAGCCTACTTTGTAAAAAAAAAAAACAAAAAAAACAAACAAACAAGCAAGAGACATTAGGTAATGGGGACATACAATGTATTTGGAGAAACAGGCCTTCTGATGTAAGAATTCACACTCTCAGAACACCAAGGAGATGTGTACCCAAGAAAGAAAGCTGTAGAATTTTATGGGGAAAATGTGAATATAAAGATTCTTTGGGCTTTATCCAGCTTCAAAGTAACAAGGCTCAGACCACAGCCCTGACTACCTGAATATACTAATATTCTTTCCTAAGAGTAGATAATCCACTCCAGAGGAAGCTCTGACAGTAGAAGGATAAAGAGTAACTAATAGACTACTACAATAATTAGAATTTCAAAGGGAGAGGATAACAAGTAAAACTTCACATTTAAACCTACTGGCCCAAGTAAAGTTGGCTGATAAGACCTTTTGCTATGAATCTACCGAAATTTCTTTTGTTTGCGACAGAACTTAAGACATCCGCCTCCTACTGTTTCCATTTACAGCTCTTCTTTCATCTGCTGTAATATAAAATCAAAGTATATTTTAGTTTGCAATTAGTAAACAAAGCTTAATTTTCTCTGCTACC